GACCGCGCGCGGGGTGGGCCAGGGGGCGGGAAAGGGGACAGAGAAGTTAGCGAGGGAGGCCCATGCCTCGCAGACAGCCAGGATGGCCAACGAGTTGCGGAGTTTGCGATTACACGCCCTGGTTCGCGTCCTGCGGCTGGGTGGGAAAGGGGGGAGCGGGGGCGCGGCGGGTGGCGGGAGTTTTTCTGAAGTTGAGGACGCCTTGAGCTGGTATAGATGGTGGACGCTGGAGCCTAAAGAAACAGCATTGTCTATCGCCGCGACGCGGAACGGAGCAGGGGCAGGAGAGCGGTGCCTGTAACGGTGGCAAGCGCAGGCGGAGCTGGGGAGTGTTCCGAGGGGCGTGGCTGCCCGGGGCTGGACGGATGGCGAATGCACGTGAGGGCGGCCGGGATGGCACGGGCTCGAGCAGCTGGAGCCGGCGGCAACAGCGTCGGAGGAACAGACCGAGTGGGGGCGCCGGTCTTGAAGGAAGGGGGGATGAGGGAGGCGATGGAGGAAAGTTGGTGTGGAGGCGCGCGGTGGGTTCAGCTGTCAAAGCGGCGGCGGCGGGCGGGGCTCGGGCGGGCTTGGGCGGGGCTCTGGGCGAGGCCAAGTTGGCTGGAGCGGGGAGGGGTGGGCGGGGTGGGCGGCGGCGCGCGGCCACGGAACAACGCTTCCGCGAGCGCCAATTGCGCTGCGGCCGCAACATTCGCGAGCTGCTGTGTGCAGCCCCCGCCCCCTTCCCTGTCTCCGCGTAGGCTCCGGCCGCGGACCCGCAGCGCTGTCACTGGGAGCTCCTACGGTGGCGGATTGACACACTACGCAGCTAGGGCGAATTCAGCCGCTGTTTGGGGAAGAATTCCAGCTGCCGTCTTCTCTGATCGGTAGTTAGAAATGGTTTCTAAGACCAATCCCAGGCGAACGCTGGAGCGGTACCTTAACAAATCGATCTTTCTTTCCTCAATTTTGAACCCTGCTCTCCCTCACATACTGCAAATTTTCACTTTTAGGCAATTCACTAACATCTATGTCCGGAGCTTCACGGTATCAACCACAAAACTTGGATTCTGGCTATACCACCTCTTAGAGGATATTTTGCCTAAAGTTAGGAACAGAATTTATCCCCTTTTTCGTTAGAAGGGCCCGGATAAAAGAGTTTTTCTGCCGAAAATTCGCCGTTTTCTCCCGCAGCATTACTGCGATAGCGAGAAAGTAAAAAGTGTTTGGCAGAAACGCTGCAGAAACGTATACGATCCTAAACAGTTTCCCTAATTCTTTACAATATGTTGTAACTGATTTTCTCCCAAGGCGATCCCTGGAAATAAAGTTTCCGAATGGCCGTCGGGGCCTCCGTCTGAATCTAATATTTAGTCATTTATTAGCTAGTCATGACGGTCATCGTTTTCACTCTTAACGAAGATAACTTTAGTTATGGGTGGTCATGTAAAGTTCTCGTGCAGAATTGGTTTGTATCACCTCGCGAGGAAGTAAAAGAATCTGGCTGAAATCTTGGCGAAAATTGTAAAGGTATTAAGCACCCTTTCCTTTGATAACTTGGATATTTTATTAATGAGCAGAAATACTCGTATTTTGAATTACGGAAACATTAATATTTGCCTTGCAAATATTCTAAATGAAAAAAAAAATCCTATCCTTTTGCAGATGTGACATTGCACCCAGGGTTGATAATTTTTCCCGCATATATGAATGCGAACTGCGAGGGTGAAAGTACACGTTTGAAATCGTTAAGTGGAGTGCATGTGACAGAGCCACGTGAGTTCAAATGTAATACACGCTATTACAATACTAGAGCCCACATGGGGTCGGGATATGGCTCATAGTAGCACTTCCGTATCTTGTGTATCGTATATCTCACTTAGTTTATAAATGCTCTCTGATGCAGATTGGGAAATGTTGAGTTTATTAAACGCCAGATGCAATGTAACACGCTGCTCTGCGTGTGAAGAGAACCGGTAATATTCCTCAGGTGTCGGCTCCACACAATCACTTTGGCCTAAGCAGTAAATGTTTATTTCTTTCGCAGAACGCACAAAGAAGAAATAATCGGATTAAATGGAACAATTCTGGTCACTGAACTTTATATTTTTAATCGAAATATTGAGACGTACGAGTCAATACTGTTGGATTTCAAGGAAATCTCCTAGGTGATTTGAGCGACAAAGTACTGGTTGCCATTATCATAAAGATGCAGTATTAAAGAAAAATTAAGTTTTTGGATCTTAACTGAAGTTTAAAAGCAATTTTCATACACAATCACATGAAAGAATTGTGTAAGTTGTTCACTAATTGAACTGAAATTGAAGAAAGTTTTCAGCAGTCTCACGGAGCATATTAGACACTACCTCCTACCCATCTCGAACTGACAACCCAGTTGCCACAGCAAGGAACTAGTGCCGCCGGCAAGTACGAGACGGGAGACTCAAAACAAAATGAAGCCGTCAGCGACCCCCAAGTGGCAGAAGCTCTCGGAGGAGGGGGAGACAGGAACGTCACCGCGGGAGGTGGCGTGGGTGCGGGGGCTTGAGCCGGGGGACAGCGAGGGGGGTTGGCGGGGAGACCGGAAATGCAGGTGCGGTACAGGAGTGGGGAGTGGGGAGCCGGGCGGAAGCGGGAAGGAGCAACCCGAAAGCGAGCGGGGCGAGGAGGGCGGGGGCTTCATGTAATATTCAGCGCGCCAGGCGCCTGATAGGAGGCGCTGGGCGCCGCTAGCCGCTCTCGCGTCAATCCTGCCGAGTCGAGCCCCACGCTAGATAAGCGGCGGCCGTTCCGACTACGCCGAACGCGAATTTCCATATTTTAGCGCGGATTCCGCTCGCCCCGAGCGCGGGCCGCCGACCCGCCCCGCGTTCGACCTCCGCCCGACGCTGCTGTTTTCGTGCTTTTTAAATTTGCTATCGACGAGACGGGAAGAAGGCTTCCGTCGAAATATTGTGTACTCCGGATCTATTAATCTTGCACGGAAGAACATTATTGATGAAATCGGATTTTGGGAGGGCGAAGGATTAT